AAAAAAAAAAAAAAAAATTGCTTGAAAACTTTTTTTTTAATCAAAATTTAGTGTTCGTTAGACTTTATTTTATATGAAAATTGTCTATTAAAATGAATTTTTTTTTCACAATTAGTTATAAAATTTGTTTTCATTGCTTAAAAAAAAGAAAAAAAAAATTTACAGCAGAACCTGAAATTCCTTTTCCCACCAAAATGGTGGAAAAAGGATTTCCCACAAATTAAGGAAAATGGACGCGTGGTGGGAGGGTTGGGAAAACATTTTCTAAGGAAAAGTTAAGCCGTCAAACATGTCTTTTTAGGTGGCAAAGGAATTACTTTTTCATTTTCCATGGAATTCAACCCCTATCAAACATGGCCTAAGTTAAATTTTTTAAAAAATTATTAAAAAAAAAGCTCTTCACAAATCAGGACAACTCCCCTTTGGCTCAATCAATGGAAATTGTCCCCTTTGGAGCTGCTCGGCTCGGCTATCGACTACACTACCTGTTTAAATTTGGCTAGTACACTTGTCCTGCATCGACTCAGTTCACTTCGATATAAGCAACACTGAAATGTGACATCCAGCCCAGGACCAAGTCTGTGAGTCAGCTGCTCTAGGACTTACAACCGCTTGCCACCTAATAGGTTTCTAATATTTCTCAGCCTATATGCGACCGATTCTTCAAAAGAAGCTTCCAACAAGAGCTAAAAACTAATGTAAACACCATCAGGCATCACGCAAGATTCATTGCAAACTTCTCACTATAAGCAATGAAATAAATATGTAGAATGTAGAATGTAGAATGAAATAAAGTCAACACACTCAAATCCAAATTGTCTACCAAAACAAGAGCTACAAACTCATCTTACGCCTATATTATCCTAAGCAAGAAACGGCATCCAGATAGCTTTCACCACTGCCCATTTGAGCACCATGTTCAAAGCTCACCCCCACCTTCTCTCAGAAAATAGGCAGGTAAAATGTGATAAAAGCATATCAATGGATAAAAAAGAACCAAAATTGCAGAAGATGTCCCAAAAAAAAAAAATTTGAAAATAAAGATTGCAATGATGAAAAACACAGTATCTATCCAGCCTCACTTGGCACCCTTCTTTGCAGCAGCTTTGGTCACCTTTGCACCAGATGGATCCTTCTTGTCCACACCCTTGATGACTCCAACAGCAACAGTCTGACGCATATCCCTAACAGCAAAACGACCAAGAGGTGGGTACTCAGAGAAAGTCTCCACCACCATTGGCTTGGTTGGAATCATCTTAACAATACCAGCATCACCATTCTTCAAAAACTTGGGCTCCTTCTCAAGCTCCTTGCCAGATCGCCTGTCAATCTTAGTTTGGAGTTCAGCAAACTTAACAGCAATGTGAGAGGTGTGGCAGTCAAGCACAGGAGCATATCCATTTCCAATCTGACCAGGGTGGTTCATGATGATGACCTGGGAGGTAAAGCTAGCAGCTCCCTTAGCAGGATCATCCTTGGAGTTGGAAGCCACGTAACCACGCTTGAGATCCTTGACAGCAACATTCTTGACATTGAATCCAACATTATCACCAGGAAGAGCCTCCTGAAGGGCTTCGTGGTGCATCTCAACAGACTTAACTTCAGTGGTCAAACCAGTGGGACCGAAAGTCACAACCATACCAGGCTTGATGACACCAGTTTCCACACGACCCACCGGTACAGTACCAATACCACCAATCTTGTAGACATCCTGAAGTGGGAGACGAAGAGGCTTATCTGAGGGCCTCTTGGGCTCCTGAATCAGGTCGAGTGCTTCTAGCAGGGTTGGGCCCTTGTACCAGTCGAGGTTGGTGGACCTCTCAATCATGTTGTCACCCTCAAAACCAGAAATGGGGACGAATGGAATCTTGTCAGGGTTGTAACCAACCTTCTTGATGTAGGAAGAAACTTCCTTCACAATTTCATCATATCTAGGCTTGGAGTACTTTGGTGTGGTGGCATCCATCTACAGAAGACAAATCACAACATGCAAGATGAATAACTGATATAGAAAATATTCTACAATAGCAGGATACAAAAAAGATTATTGGTTTTAGATCATTGAAAATGAGCTCACCTTGTTGCAGCAGCAAATCATCTGCTTGACACCAAGGGTGAAAGCAAGCAAAGCATGCTCACGGGTCTGACCATCCTTGGAGATACCAGCTTCAAAACCACCAGTGGTGGAATCAATGATTAGGACGGCACAGTCAGCCTGTGAGGTACCAGTAATCATGTTCTTGATAAAGTCACGATGTCCTGGAGCATCAATGACAGTGCAGTAGTACTTGGTGGTCTCGAATTTCCACAAGGCAATATCAATGGTAATACCACGCTCTCGCTCAGCCTTGAGCTTGTCAAGTACCCATGCATACTTAAATGACCTCTTGTTCATCTCAGCAGCCTCCTTCTCGAATCTTTCAATGACACGCTTGTCAATACCACCAAGCTTGTAGATCAAGTGACCAGTGGTGGTCGATTTCCCAGAGTCGACATGGCCAATGACCACAATGTTAATGTGAACCTTCTCCTTACCCATTTTGACTTTTTAAGATGCTGCAAAGCAATAGAAACAGCGGTCATGAAAATATATATTTGCTAAAAGATCTAAAAAATTCACTTGGACAAAAACCAAAAAACAAGAAATCAAAGGGCAGCCAAAAACATATTATATTCCAAAAAATAAAACAATAAAGAAATCAAAGAATAACAAATGCTGACTTGGTTATTTGAAGTTCAATTGGATGTTAACAATTGCACAAAGCAGGTCAAAAAAAATATAAATGAGCGCACAACATATCTAAGGGCCTGCTTGGGGGCTTTGGGATACCAGTTATGAGTTTATATTTAAAGTACCAGATTTGGGCATTCATGAGGAGTCCAGATGGATTTCTTAAATAGTCCAACCCATGGTTGGGAGTTTTTATTGAGAGGTTCTGAAAGCATTTTAAAGAATAAAATTACACACATACCCTCAGTGAAATTTTCAATTTACAATTTTTTTTATAAAATTTTTCCTAATATAAGTGATAGTCCTTATTTTTTTTTTTGTACATATATAAGTTAATTCTTAACTTAAAAGGTGAAATACTCGTAATTAAAATTTTAAATTATAAGTAATTTTTTACTTACACATAAATGAATTTTTTACTGGTAACATTTTTATAATTCACAAGTGAATTCTTATCTTACTAGTATCATTTTTACTTTATAAGCAATTTTTGACACTATAGTTAATTTTTATCTTATAAGTAATTTTTTTGTCATTCATTTCTAATTTAGAAATACTTCAGTTTTGAACTAAATATGTGGGTTGGAAATATCATATCAAACAAAACGAGGAATTCAACAGAGCGTAATTAAGTCTGAGACGGGTACTTAAATTAATAGAAGAAATTTTAGTAAAAACAGTGTTCAGATCTAGAAAACAGAAAAGATAAAGATGTACGAAAGAACCTAAACTTACACAAACATAAAACATAATCAATTCAACGAAACATTAATTTAGAAAAAAATAAAAAAAAGCTTTAACGGATCTGCTAACAAATTTACATTACCATACATATAAACGAAATGCATACTCTTAAACAGATAAACAAGTTGGAAAACAGGAATTAGAGACTGACCGACTGGAGATTGGACTAGAGTTCTCTCGCCCGCCGGCTGCAGAGATACTAGGGTTTCTAAGGAGAGCGAGAGGATGAGGAATGAAAATAGACAACGAGGGCATATAAATAGAGTTCAGTACTGACTGATTAGGGTTTCTCGTGAACCGTCGGATAAAATCGGACGGCTAAAAATAGGGGATTCCTTTTTAAGGGCTTGTTTGTAAGAATTAAAATTCAATTAAAATTGAAAATATAGTCGTTATTGGGTCTCATTCGTCTAATAAAAGTTAACTTCAACAGCTATATTTTCAATTTTAATCTAATTTTAATCCCTCTCAAACAAGCTCTAAGTAAGCCGTGGATTCAATTTGGAACTTCGGTGTTTATCACTGATACTTGGTTTAATTACAATGTTGTCCCTAGTGTCTTATACATTTACCATTTGGATCCTGCTTTATATTTTCCATTTTTTTCCTCTATGGAATCCGAGTCAGGTTCACTAATTCATTATTTTTTTCTTTTTTCACGGTAATTGGGTGAGAGAGTGATTTGATTTGATTACGCATTTTTGTTGAGAGTTTAAAGTAATTGGAATCCGTGTCAAGTTCACTAATACATATTTTAATCAATCCCTTGTTGCAAAGCAG